TCAAATGTCATTTAGAGGCCTTGCTTTAGAAAGCACTTACTGGTTTGCTCTCCGAAGACCAGAACACCTATCAATTTATTTTTAATTCCTGAGTATGTTAGACCCTGGGAAGTTATCATTTTCTTCTTGGGACAGAGCAAAATAAAGGGAAAAAACATCATTGTTAATTCAAGGATTTTTCATATTAACTTAAGGTACTTCTTGAAATTTGATAGTTTGGAAAAACTAAGTCATTTGGAGATATTCTTAGTAATCTACTTTCTGAATCAACTAGACAGTGTTGTATTATTCTGATTGCTTTATAGGATTTAAATATAAACATAATTTACTGGCACATTAAATTCCATTATGGTGGCCTGATTGTGATATTTTAATTTTATTTAAGCAAAACCCTGGACCACACTTCTCACTAGTGAAGCAAGGTAGAGGTGAGGTCAAATTTCACCTTTTCTTATTATTTGTATTATCTCATTACTCTTTGATTTTATTGAAAATTGGTCTGTGGATGATGAATAGGGGCGAGACTACAAAACTGATATATATTTGCATCTTTTCCTGGAATATCAGTGAGATTTGGTTAGGAGTGGGTGTGGCCAGCCAGAGCACCATGCCCCACAGGAAGTAGGGCATGTGCCCTACACATCTCTGTAGATGTGCCCCACACATCTTTGAAACTATATTACTGCACGGGCCCTGTGTGTTATTCTGGCACTAAAAACATTAGCAAACATAAGACAGACTCTCAGAGAAAATCACTAACCTTTACTCCTGACTCACGTTGTGTGAAGCATGCTTTGAGTTTCAACAAAAGGTTAACCTTGCTTTTATCTTTCCTCATTTGCAAAGTTTTGCTTGTCTGACACCAGACATGCCAGGACTGAACTCTAAAAGAATAAGTGTTTGGGGGAAATTTCCCCAGCCCTTCTCAGCAGCTAAAGTATTAGTACTATCTGTCATTCTGACCTTTCTGAACTTCCAGATTCCAGATAGGTGTCTGAGGTTTTTTTCACTCTGCTCGTTGAGCAGTGGTTCACCACTGGGGATGATTTTGTTCTCGAGGGGACATTTGGCAGTATCTAGAGACATTTTGGTTGTCACACCATGGGGGGTTGGGAGGAGGTGTACTGCTGTCATCTAGTGGGTAGAGTAGAGGCCAGGTATGCTGCTCAACAGTGCATAGGACAGCCCCCAGGAAAAATAATTATCTGGCCTCAAAATGTCTATAGCGCTGAGGCCGAGGATCCCTGCTGTAGGAGTTTGCAAGGTCAGGATGTCTCCAGAGGAGCTAGCTGGTTGTCAGGAGGGTGCATCAAGGTGTCATTTACCTGGTAACCTTATCATGGATTGGGGTCGGCTCTCTCTCAGACTTGCAACTTCAGAAACTCACTTTCAGATGTCCCAGAGCTGATTAAACTCTAGGAGGCTGACTTGAATAGAAACCCCCAGGAAGGTGAGTAAATAACCTTCTTTTTGCCTTATTAAATTCCACTAATAAATAGAACTGGTGGACAGAGTGGACGCTTGTGTTGGCTGCATAGCTCATATGCTGTCTGTTGGCAAGGAGCCTGGGAAATGAAATTGCTAGCGGGTGCCTCAGGGAGCCTGGAATCAGAACAAGGGGAGATTTTGGGGTATCTAGTGATACCTGAAACTCTGAGGTCTTAAACCTCCACTCAAGATGTATCACATCAGTGTTGGAGATGCCGTGTCTTCCTTTAGGAAGTGCTGGAATGGGTCTTGGCAAAACCCGTTTTGATCTTTTACACTTTTCCTCCTCTGTTTCCGTTGCTGACCCACTGCCTTTCATTATCCATATTGATTCTTTTAATTAATTTACTTTTTAGTCTTGTTGGCTTGGGGGAGAGGAATTGCTTCAATAAAAACGTGTCAAGCATCATTGGGTATAACATCATTTGAAGATTGATATTAGGACTCTGTCCCTAAATGGAGGCTTCTCAGTCTACTGGGTGGCACCGGGGTGACAACATTTCAGAAGAATGTGAGCAGGGCCATGACGGGTGCTCTCAGGATTCTCTGCAAGTACAGAGGACACAGACCTAGGCTGCAGTGTCACTTGGAGTGTCTGCTTTGAGCTCTCAGGCACTGATTTTAGAGTTTAAATTTGGGAGAGCAACCTTATCCCTGTGATTCTGAGTCCTGGGAGAGGGACTGAGGGCATTATTATCACTCCTGTGTACTGTCTGCTTGTTCGTTTGATTTTCCTCGTTCTGTTCCAAGATTGGATGTCAGGCCTCAGGATGATGAAAGAGTCCGACGTGCCACTTAATCTTCACCTCTTCCCTCTCAGGATTGGAGGCAGTCATCTTGTTCATTTTTGAAGGCTGTAGTCAACCCACCAAGAAATACAGCCAGACTAGAGGGGAGTCCATGGATGCCGCAGAGGGTCTCCCTTTGTCCTAGGACGAGAGGAATTATGCAGCGGCTAGCAGTACTTGAGTGAGCTCGATGTGTTTTGCCAGGATCCTGCTGA